AGGTCCTAGGTGCAGATGTGATAAGGCCTCCCCCGAGCAGCCCTGCCCTCCCTGGCTCACAGCCTTTGCAAACCAGCACGTCCTCGGAAGCACTCTTGGGAAGTGGATCTGTCCAGGATAAAAGTAGCCCAGGTGAAAGTGGACACCAAAAAGAGACTGGGCCTCAGCTCTGTGTCTCTACAGTGAAAACTGGAGTCTGTCAGACAAAGGGTTAAAACCGAGGCAGAGAAGGTTCAGTGGTGCATGCCTTTAATACCAGCAATTGGAAGGCAGAAGCAGATATGAGTTCGAGGCCAGCAAGGGCTTCGTAGTGAGACCCTGTCTCAAAAAAGAAAAGAAAAAGAAAAAAACCAAAGAAAGAAAAATGCTAAAGCAGAGAAATGTCACTCTCCAGAGAGTACCTGATTCTGGAAAAGAAAACCAGGCTGGCTGATTTGACAGACGTCACCAAGACTCAGGAATATTTCCTATGGAACCAGTAGGTCAGACTGATCAAAAATGACTCTATGAGATTCCTAACACAAGGCCCACTCTGACACTCTCTGCCAGCTCTAGTAATGAAGGCCCTGTTGTGCCCCAGCCTGGTGATTCCTTCAGACTGAAAGTGCCCCTTGTATTCAAACACCAGGAGGGCACCCCACCTTCCCCAGTCAAGACAGCCACCAGGTAAGACTACTATAAGCCCATTATTAGTGATGGAAGAAGGCCTGGCCAGTGAACACATCCTCCGGATGCTTCCAGAGGCCAGGTGGTGGGTGCCAAATCCTCACAGCAGGCTCTGACCTCTGCCCAGTCCACTGGGTAAGGGTCAGGCCTCTCTGTCTTCCCAGGCACAGCAAGGCCTCTCTCTTCAGGGCACCTCTTGCTCCAGGGCACCTGCTCAGGGAAGTGGCAAAGTGAAGAGACTGTCCCCTCAACAACTCCCATTATCCTCTCCCCAGCAAGGCCTCATGAGCAAGGCCCTTTGGGTGACCCTGCTCCCTTACACAAAGTAGGGAGTCCAGATGGAGTCTCTTTCTGGAAGGTGCTAGAGCAATGGCAGGAAAGCACATCTTACAAAGTACCCAAAAAGTGAGTGAGGCAAGAGGCGTGAGCATTGGCTTTTGCTCACTACCAGCTCCCCAATGCCAGGCACAGAAGTTCCCTCCACAAGCACAGCTGGAAAGTGACAACACCCCCACTTGCCTCACAGAGTTGTCAGACCCCTAGAGGGCCTGAGGTAGACAGGGAACCAGGTTCTACCCAATGACACAGCCCTGCATCTGGCTTCCCGCTGTGTCCCCTGCCCTCTCCATTTAGATAAGGAAAATGTGTGTGATGAAAAAGGTGGAGCTCCAGGAAACCCCAAGAGACTGAAGAGAGGACGGCACACTGCTGGGCAGGTAGGACATGAACATTAAGCCTTGGCTCCTTTCTCATTTTTCAAAATGTAGTATGGGGGGTGGGGGTTGAACCCAGGGCCCTAAGCATACTGGGAGAGTGCTCTACCATTGAGCTATATCTCCCACCCTTTTTTTTTTTTTTTTTTTTTTTTTTTTGTCTTTTTGAAGCAGGGTCTCCCTGTAGCCCCAGCTGTCCTGGAACTCACTATGTAGACCAGGCTGGCCTTGAACTCACAGAGATCTGCCTGCTTCTGCCTCCTGAGTGCTGGGACTACAGGCGTGCACCACCACACTCAGCTACCCTTTTTAACTCCCTTTCCTTTTTTAAAAAATCTATTATTTTAATTTTATGTGCATGAGTGTATTGCCTACATGTGTGTGTAAAGTCCACCCATGTTGTGCAATGCCCTTGGAGGTGAGAAGAGGGCATCAGATTCCCTGAAACTGGAGTTACGGATAATTGTTAGCTGCTACGAGGGTGCTGGGAATCGGCAAGAGCAGCCAGTGCTCTTAACCGCTGAGCCATCTCTCCAGCCCTTAACTCCCTTTTCAACCCAAGCTGAACTACTCCACAGAGCAAGGCCATTAACAGCCCACACACCATCACAACCTTAGATCTTCACAAACAGCCTGCCCCTGGCCAGGGTCCCCCAGGGACATCTGACAGGCTGTTGCTCCCACCAAGAACTAAGAGGGCCAAAGTGGGCTGAGCCTCCTGAGATTCTGCCAGAAGTTGATATAGTTATGTAAGCCGAGATCTCTAGCCAGACACCTATAATCCTAAAACTTGAGTGACAGAGAGACAGGAGAATCACCATGAGTTCAAGACCAGCCTGGTCTACACACTGAGTTTCAGGGCAACCAGGGCTACATAATGAGACCTGCCTCAAAAATTAAAAAAAAAGAAAAATCAGCCGGGTGTGGTGGTGCACACCTTTAATCCCAGCACTTGGGAGGCAGAGGCAGGCAGATCTCTGTGAGTTCAAAGCCAGCCTAGTCTACATAGTGAGTTCCAGGACAGCTGGGGCTACAGGGAGACCCTGTCTCAAAAAGACAAAAAAAAAAAAAAAAAAAAAAAAAAAAAATCAGAAACTCAAGGTTGCAAGCACAGTCTCTGAAACCAAAGAGACACTGAGACTGTCCCGAGCTGCCTTTCCACATGCTGCTGGGGTGGACTGCCCTGACCCAGCCTCTGTGGTTTGTCACCTGTAGGAAATCAGAGCCAGCTATATTTGCTCCTTCTTCTAAAGGTGCTCTGTACATGAATTATCACTGAGCCCCCACCATGGAAAGATTACAGGTAGGCTCTTGATAGCAGGGCAGATGCTGACTCCGTGAAACACTGCAGCTGTAAGCAATCCACCCCCATTTTACAGATGGGCAGTTTGACAGGTGAAGTCTGTCGGGCTTACCCAAGGTCATCTAGACAAAACCAGGACCAATGTGTACTTGATCTGTATGGGCTTTCTGTTCACTACAGCACTCCTATGGTCAAGAGTTGCTCACTGTAGTAAACGCATCTCTTACACTATCAGTGCAGTACATCTGGGTCTTAGAACTGTTCTTAAACAGGAACACCTACATAGAATAGGATACACAAATGTCTAACTCAACTGAACTGAGCCTCCATCACTAAACCACAGAATGTAGAGCTTTTGAGAGACAGCCCTCAGGGAGTTGTTCCAACCTCTTGCTAAGCAGATGGGGTAGCTAAGGCTCCAGAGATGAAGTGATTCACCCAAACTAGCTGGTAGCAGTTCAGGGGAACCAGCTCCGATCTGAAACAGCAACTGATGTACTGTCTTTTCAAGGTGCAGAAGGACCCCTTGAATCCACTTCAGAGAACAGGGCATTCATCCTGTTCACACTGCAATGGTCCTTGAGCCTTCAAAGGCAAAGCACTCCTGCCTAACCAGCTCAGAGGTCTCAACAGCTGGAGGCTTTGGGGTAACCAGATGCTACATTTTTGTCAAAATGTGCAACTCTGGAAGTCAAGGTACCTGGAGGACAAATAGCCATTAGCAGAGAATAACAAGTAAGCCATTCTCCACACACCCTGGGAGCCAGGAGCACTTCAGAGGACATGGGGATGAGCCACAGAGGCCAACACAGAGGACATTCTCTCAGCCCAACTACACAGCAGCCCAAGCAGATACACATTGCTGGACCACGACCCCTCCTTCCAGAACTAAGCCACACAGCCCCCTATTGTTTCAGCTTCAAAACTGAACTTTGCCAGGGACACACACACTCAACTGTGTTCAAGAAATCCACATGCAGAAGGGCTTATTGCAGGGCTTTGTTGGTTTGTTTTTTAAGCAAAGTCCTAGTCAGTCCTGCTATAGCAACTGTAATAAAAAAATAATAATAATAAGAGCCAGCACCAGTTGGACAGTCTTCCAATGTCCCTGGCTTCATAGCTTTTAAGAAAATAAAACTAGGGAGAGCCACCCTGAGCATTTCGGATCAAACAAGGATTCAGGCTTGTGGTGAGAGGGAGGACTGGTCTTATAATAATTATGGCAATCACAGGCTGGCCCTATGACAGCTGGCAGATGCAATTAGCAGTGGTGTGTGTGTGTGTGTGTGTGTGTGTGTGTGTGTGTAGAATCACAGATCTAATAAAACAGAACATCCCCAGACCTTCAGAAGCCCAGATGTGGCACAAGGTTGGGAGAGGCCCTTCCTTCTTCTGGAGAGAACAGCTATTAATTGGCCCCTAGACTTTGAAAGGCTTCCAGTCCCTGGACAAAACCAAGTTGGGAAGGTACTAGTTTCCCTCCATTGTGTAAAGGGAGAAGGAGCTCCCTCTCCTGAGATCCTAACCACCCATTCTGGTTGGTTCTTCCAAATCCTTCCATCCTTTTAATACTGCACTTCCCAGCTATATAATTTGAGAGAAGAGAGCTCACATATCTTATTTCTTCACTGCAGTCCAAGCCATCTCCTTCAGCAACCCCCTTAAGTAGTGTCTTCTCACCAAATTCCCTTCCCCAGTAAAATCTTTCCTAGTCCAAAGCCCAATGTTCAGGGGAAGTGGGGAAGTCAGTGGGTAATTACATTTTGAGCAGTGAACCACTGTGACATCGCGAAAGGAAAGCACCCCAAACGCCTGTACAGCAAAAATGCAGTTTCAGCAAACACTTTTGCAAAGCGGCAGACAATACCTGGAGGTAAGGAAAGGACAAGGAGAGCGGGGCGTGAGAGAAAAGCAGTGCCACGGGCCTGCGCTCACACTTCAGGGGACTTCCCCCCATCAGTGGGCTCAAGCACACCGAGAAATTTCAATCGAGCGCGTGACTAAGTGGGACAAAGAGTACTGCAGACCCTGGAAATGGGGTGGGAGCAGAGAGAGGGTTGCAGGGGGATGTCCGCGCGCATCCTACCCCGCACGCGGGTGCTCGAGTCTGGATCGATTAAACCCCCTCCCCCAAATCCTGCCCAAGGTGATTGCTGGTTCTGGGTCCCACGCTGCCGCATCACCGAGCTCAGGCAAGGGAGGAAGACTCCAGCCTGGAGACTCCGGCTCCTCCAGGATGCAACTCCGGAAGAAAAGCACGGGGGCGGTTCCCCGAGCCCTGCCTGGTCCCAGACCCTCCAACGCCGCGGCCCCCTTACCTCCAGGGTCCGGATCTCCTGCTGGGTGAGGTCGTTGGACACCGCGCACTTGGTGCGCAGCCCGCGCAAGCTGCCGATGGAGATGTCTATGAGCTTCTGGAGCTGGCCGCACTGCTGCAGCGCCCGGCTGGCCGCGGCCCCTGCGCCCCCATCCGCGGCCGCCGCCGCCCCCCCGCCGCAGCCCTCCTTCTTCTCCCCCATCGCCGAAGCGCGCAGCGCCGTTCTATCCATGCCTCGGCATCGGGGCCGCGGGGGGCCGAGGCTGGGAGCCCGGGGGCGCGGGCGCCTCAGCAGGGAAGCCCCGAGCCGGGAGGGCGGGACAAGCAGCGCCCCTCGGCGCCGCCGGAGCCCGGAGCCTAGAGAGCCAGCTGCCGAATACGCTCCTCCAGCCGCCAAGCCAGGGCGGCAAAGCGAAAGCCTCCACGACCCGACGGCTTCGGTTCCCCAGCCTTTAAGTGGTAGCGGGGGCCGGATCAGGGCCGCCGGGCATGCTGGGACTTGTAGTCCGCGCCGCGCTTCTGCCTCCTGGCCCGCGCCCTCGGGGCCCCGCCCGCGCTCTGGCCCCGCCTGGTTCCCAAGAGGTCGTTGCTCGGCTCTAATTGATAAACCGCAGTGCACAGTGGTCTTGGGAGCCTCATCCCCCCCGCCCCCTTCACCTTCATTACCCGCATCCTCCACAATCCTTCTAATGACTTCCGACTACGCGTGAATGGAGTGGGGCAAGTGGCCAGTGGAAAGTGGGGATATTGAGGGTTCCAAATTTTTATGCTAATTTAAAAGCCGCCATGTGTGGGTTCGGATTTAAGGGATTTTCTCAGGCTAAGGATGCAGCCCAGTGGCAGAGCACTTGCCTAGCACACACAAGATCCTGAGTTCAATCCCCAGCACTACCAAAAACAAACAAGAACACCATCAGTCATCTAGTTCACATAACGCTTGACTCTGAATTGTCAACTTGAGCCTGAACGGTCTATACCAATGTCAGTGTGCAGGCAAGGAAAAGGACCTTCTTCTAAGTCCTATTCATGCACCAAAATAAATGTAACCATCTTATGCCCAGCAGATGACACACAGGCAACACTTTGGTTCAGAGAACCTCGTTTGACTCTGATTCCATTGCTCCACTGCCTGGTATATGAATTTGAACAAATGGCTGTCCTCAATGCACCTGAATTGTGTGTGTGTGTGTGTGTGTGTGTGTGTGTGTGTGTGTGCTGAATGGGAGCTGCCCGACACGGGTGCTGGGACTCAAACTCAGGTCTTCTGGAAGAGCAGTAGGTACTCTTAAACACAGCCATTTCTCCGGCCCCTCCCCTGCACTTCAAATGGGATGGTAACTACCCATATCAAAGGGTTCCTAAAAGGGAGGTCATGTGTGTACAGCATCCAAATTAACTACTGGCACATGCGGTCATGAATAAATGTTAGCTCTTTTCTAAGCTCAGATCTCCTAAATAAGACCTAAGCAGTCAGTGACAAGCAAGCAGTCAGTATTGCCCAGAACCTCCTAATCTAACACTTTAGCCTGACCATACCTGTTCATGCTGTCCATCCATCTCCTGTGATCCATAAAAAGTGAAAACTGAGCCAGGCACACACTTTTAATCCCAGCACTTGGGAGAAAGAGACAGGCAGATCTCTGTGAGACTGAGGCCAGCCTGGTCTCCATAGTGAATTCCAGACCAGCTGGGGCTACACTGTTCTGCATCTGACTGTTATGAGGGTGCAAAGATGAGTTAGCCAGTGGTTTCTGTGATCAAGGAGTTTACAAGAGAAAATTCAGTAGAGAAATACCTTCTGTTTGGCAAATGTTAGGAGAGACTGGAACCTTTGATTAGAATTTTGATTTTCACTTAAAAATCAGAGTAGCTTTATTTTATTTTGCTTACTTTATTTTATTTTATTTTATTTTATTTGTGTGTGTGTGTGTGTGTGTGTGTGTGTGTGTGTGTGTGTGTGTGAGACACTGTCTCCCTGTAACCACAGCTGGCCTGGAATTCACTTTGGAGACAAGGCTGGCCTCCATCTCACAGAGATCCACCAGTGAATGAAAGGTGTGCACTACCACATCCAACTCCTTTTTCACCTTTATTTCAAGATAGGGCCTCACTAAGTTGCACAGATTGGCCTTGAACTCACTATTTGCCCCAAGCAATCTTTGAACTTGGAATCCTACCTCAGCCTCCTGAGTAGCAGAGATTACAAGTATGTGCCAGCATGCCCAGCTCAGGAGCTGTTTTAAGCAACTCCTAGGTCATGGCCCAAGTACTTCGAAGGAGGTCATGAATGAATAGATAGGTTTTGTTTTAGAGACTGAGGATATACAGGAAGTGGAATCCAAGTATTACATAATTTTTTGTTTTGATTTTGTTTGGTTTAATTTTGAGATAGTGTCTCACTGTAGCCCTGGCTAGCTTGAAACTCACCATGTAGACTAGGCTGGCCTCAAATTTACAGACACCATCCTGCCTCTGCCTCCTGAGGGCTAGGACTAAAGGCATGCTCCACACACTTGGCTTACACTGTTGATTGAACTACAGACACGAAAACAATCAATACTGGGTAGCAGTTTATGTCACATTGTCCTTTAATGTTATTTGATATTTTAAGATAAATTAAGGGAGAGGATGTAGCTCAGTTGGTAGAGTGCTTACTTAGCATATGTAAAGACCTGGCTTCAGTGCCCAGCACTACATACACTGGGCCTGGTAGGTGTACTTTTATAAGCTGGTTTTGGTGCTGCACACCTGCACACTTGGGAAGCAGAGGCAAGCAGATCTCTGTGTATTCAGTGCTAACTTGGTCTACACAAGCAGTTCCAGGCCAGGGCTACATAGCTGGGGTGGGGGGGCACCAAACAGAAAAACAGAAAAAGCACTTTTGCAAACCAAACCCTCTCCTGAAGGATATCTAAAATACTGGAAGTTTCCTCCTGGTCCTCTGTCCCTGCCCGTTAAGAATCACTGATTCAGCCAGGCATGGTGGTACATGCCTTTAATCCCAGCACTCTGGAGGCAGAGGCAGGCAGATCTCTGTGAGTTCAAGGCCAGCCTGGTCTACATAGTGGGTTCCAAGCCAGCTGGAGCTACAAGGAGACCCTGTCTCAAAAAAACCAAAAAAAAAAAAAAAAAAAAGAATCACTGATTCAGCCAGGCACAGTGGCACACATCTTTCTTTAATCTTAGCTCTTGGGAGGCAAAGGCAGGTGAATCTCTGTGAGACTGAGGCCAGCCTGGTATACATAGTGAGGTCAGCTGGGGATACAGGGAGATCCTGTCTCAAAAAAAAGAATCACTGCCAGGCGTGGTGGCACATGCCTTTAATCCCAGCACTGGGGAGGCAGAGACAGGCGGATCTCTGTGAGTTCGAGGCCAGCCTGATCTCCATTAGTGAATCCAGGCCAGCTGCGGCTACACGGAGACCTTGTCTCAAAACAAACAAACAAACAACAACAACAACAAAAAAAAAATCACTGATTCGGCCAGGCACCATAACACACACCTGTACTTAAGAGAGTGAGAAAGAAGGATCCCTTTGAATCAGAGGCAGCTAGGCTATACTGTAAGGTCAAGACCAGCTTGGGCTATGTAATGAGATCTTGTCTCTAAAAGAAACAAACAAAAATCACTGATTCAGCCAGGTATGATCATGTATACCTATAATTCCAGTACTCCAGAAGCTAAAACAGGAGGATCTCTAACTTGAGAACAGTCTAAGTAAAACCTTGTCTCAAATAATGAAGAGAAGGAGGAGGAGGAGGAAGAGGAAGAAGAAGAGATGGAGAAAAAGGAGACTGAGGAGGAGGAAGAGGAGGAGGAGGAGGCAGCAATCCTCACACAACATGTAACAGGACCCTGTACTGTATTCATGGTCCCCTGACTATTATTTTATCCCCACTCCAGCCCCTGCATTAGAGAAATGACTGGCCTGAAAGAAAAACTGAAATGGTGATTTTCAGGCTTGAACAAGCATGGCAGTCATCTGGAAGGCTTGTTCATTTCTAGAATGACAGGCACAGAGTCTATAGTTTCCTAGTTCATAGATCAGAGCACAGGCCCTCAGAATTTGCATTTCTAGCAAGTTCTCTGGTGGTATTCACACTGCTAGTGTAGAGACCACGCTTTGAGAAGCCATATGCAGAGGAAGGTCAGCAGACTAGATTCCTCAGTCACTTATTGTCACTTACTGTGTTGAGACAGGGTCTCTTACTGACCCTGGAGTTTACCAGTTCAGCTAGACTGACTGTGCAAGAAGTCTCAGGGATCCTCCTGTCTCTGCCTCCCCAGCCCTGGGATTACTGGCGTGCACTGTTGGGTGCTGGGGAGCAAACTCAGGTCCTCATGCTCGCATGGCAAGCACTTTACCAACTGAGACAACTTCACAGCTCCTGGAAGAACTGTTTTTTCATATCCTGAAAAAGACCTCTTCCATCCTGTACCTGTGGCATCCATGCCTACCCACAGCACCATGGTGGTAGCAAGAGGGCTGGAGACAGGGACAGATGAAAGCCCCGTGGCTGCTGTCCTGCTAGGCTCCTGAAGCTGCTCCCCTCCCCTGTGAGTGGTCTGCCTTCTCATGGGAGAAAGCATTCCTGGGGTTGCGGCTTCCCTGTCCAGCTCACCTTGGCTGGACTCTAGCCTTCTGGACAGGATTTTAGTGTTAGGTCAGCCACACATTCCAAAGCCACCACTTAGAGGTGAAGAACAAGGACGTGTATATAGTCAATTTTCAGCCTTTTAAAATTCAGTAAGGATTCACTAAGTATCTCCCTGTGTGACAGGAACCAATCTGGGCTCAGAGAAATGGCAGGGAACAAAGACAAACTCCTTCAAACTCCTTGCTTTTGAAATCATGCTCTGATGAGAGAAGAGAAAGCCAGCAGAAAGCACAAGATATCAGGTGCTACTGGGATACACAGAAAGCAGAGGCAAGGGACAGGGACGGTGACATTTACAACTTTGATACAGGGTTTTGTTTTGGGGGGCTTGGTTTTGGTTTGTTTTTTGAAGCCAGGTTCTCATGTAGCCCAGGCTGGCCATGAACTCACTATGAAACCAAGGCCAGCTTTGAATTCCTGATTTGCCTGCCTCCACACTGCCCACCCAACTGTTATTTACAACTCTATATACTTGCTCTAGGGAGTAGGGCTTTCAACTCCCTGTGAATTTCAGTATGCTCTTGGGCTGGTACTATCCCAGCATGGGCAAGTCTCTGAATAGTATGGCTCATTTGCATGATAGAGATAACAGATTGTGAGGGTAAACTGACAATTATGCCAAGTGATGGTCATAAAATGAGGGACAAGTTATTTATTTGATAAATACTATGTGTTTACTTACAGTATTCCAAATGCCTTATTCACTTGTTGAACTGATGTGAATTTGTTTCTCCTTTCTCCACCTTACAAAGTGGACATCTTCTGCTTAGATGAATTCACC